GACGCTCCCCCGTCCTCCTTCTCCAACCCCAAACAAGTTTCGTTTTTGTCACAAACCGCAATTTCCCTTCTATGATCCCCATCGGATCGCCCCGCCCCCGATCTGCCTCAGTTTCCACCCTTTGGGACCGGAGGCGGAGAAAGAGGAAGCGTCCCCATACTCTCGGCCACGAAGCCACCCACCGCGGGTACCAGGAAGCAGGAAGTGACCTACCTCCCTGATGGGTTCCGAGGCCCCCCGGGCTGGCCTCCACCTCAACCCCTTCTTCTTCGGCCCTTGCACGGTCTGACAGAAAGTGGCGATACGGGCTCGAACCCGATAGCTCGGTCCCCGCTGGCCTGGCCCCTGGGACCGAGGCCAGCGGAGGATGAAGCCAACGTAACTGCTGGGCGGAGCCCGCCCTCCAGTCTGGGGACCGGGGAGCCTATCGGAGACTCACCCCGGAGGCGAGTCTGGGAGGGACGCGCGGAGAAGACGCTCGCAACACTCACCACCTCCGCGGCGCTCCTCCGCCTCCCTCGGTCCGGGCTGGGCTCCCTCTCTGTGTTGTCTTTCGGCCCCACTTCCGGCGCTCAGGGCTGGCTCATTGTGCGCGATTGGGAGACGAAAAAGGTCGTGGCGTCTGTGCCTCGTCCTTCTCGCCCAGGTCTCCTCTCTACCGGGGAGGCGGGGAGGCGTAGGAAGGAAACCTCTGTTTCTCCGAGGGAGATGCGGAGCCCGCGGTCGGCCGCCGCCGCTGCCGGGGTAGGCTCGGAAGCCCGGCTTGCCCCTGGAGGCTCCCGGTTGCCGGGTGTTGAGGTCTCAGTGTTCTTGCCATTTTCCTGGTCATTCCGAGAAGGCCTTGGTTGCCGGTCCTGTAGAAGTGCCCATCCTGTTTCAGCATCCGCTGCTCATCCAGCTCTCAGTATGGTGGAGGGAAAGGCTTTGCTTTTTTTCTTAGACTGTGTACGTATTAGTTTTACTTCAACAAAAACAACACAGAACGGTGTTTTTAAGAATATGTGTAATCTAAAAAGATGACCCAAGAGATGTGCTCGAATTTTTGAACGAAAATTGCACACCCGGAGCTGGCAAACACCCCAGAGCGATGAGAAAATGTGATAGTTTTGATAGCTCTGCTTTGAAACATTTAAACTTAAATTCATGAGATCCTGTGAGGCCTTGGTCTTAAAATAATGATGAGCCCATAAGTACTGGCTACTTCCAGGAACTGGTCTGGGGGCTTTACAAATATTAAGTCGTTTAATCCATGCCACATCCAAATGCTTTGGTTCTGAAAAATACATGGGAATCAAGCCAGTCACCTGTTTGACAGGCACACAGTGCCTTTAATAGAGTCCAAAGGGAGCTTGGTGATACATGATTACATTTATTAAGGGACAGTAGCGTTGCCTCAGCCAGTGGAGTAATTCTTGCACACAAGAACTGGTTTAGGAAAAGTTCTAGAGAAGCAATAGAAGATATATCTTTTTAAGGATTTTAAATATATTTTTTTACTTGCATTTTCTTCAATGCACCTCCAAAAACCTAACTTTTATTCTAAACTTGCTTTGAAGTTTGTTAAAAAGAAATAGCAGACCCACAATGCAGTCACTGTGATAAGCCCCACCAAGACTTAATACCTAAGCTAATCACAGGAGTGGAATTTTAATTCAATTTGAAATTTCCTGATCAGCACTAGTGAGGTAATATGCCCAGTAAGAACCCCCAGCCCTTCGCTAAGGGAAGGTGATCTTGCCTGAAATAATCCACTCTTTTACCTTTCTTGTCCTACCATCTTCCTGTCTAAAACAATCTTCCATTTTTTACAATTCCTTGTAGTGCCCTTTTAGTTGCTAGATGGGATGCTGACTCATGAATCAATTAATAAACCAATTAGACCATCAGATTTATTCAGTTGAATTTTGTTCTTTAACAAGATTCATCTTGAGGATACCGGTATTAATCAAAGGATATTGACAGTTAATATACCTCTGTCTATATTATACTGCAATGACAATTTAAATTGGTCATGGGGACCCATAAAATTAAGTTGAAAAGTTTGGTTTAAAAAAACAATTTTTTTTTATGTTATTGGAGGGAATTGAGTTTCTCAGATTGTTTGTATGATTGCTTCACGGTCTAGACATTTTCCAACAACTTAGAGCAGAAATTTGGGGCCTGTTTGGCTCAGAGGACATTAATATTGCTCCATATGTTACAATGTGTCTTCTCCCTTGAACCAGAAGCTGAACATTGTGGCACCTCTTGACAAGTTAACCTTTAACAGCATGTGCCAATGCTG